ACGCTAAATGATAGTATTTTAAAAATCTTCAGTGTAGGTCGTATCTAATATTATGATCCGGAATCGTGGGTTTATATGTGGATATGAGGATAATTAATTCGATATGGGTTAGAAATGCTAAACTAAGGTTTTACCTAAAGTATAAAGAATAAGTTGGGTAAAATCACGATATAGCTTCGGTTATTATTCCGGAATTGAACAGCAGGAAAAAAACAAAACAAAAAAAAAACCAGTAAAACCATGGCGTAGTCTATCGAGTCGTTCCGAAAACCATCGGAAATATTGTAAACCTTAATTTATTTGCCGCCATATTATTTTTAAAACATAATGTTTTAAAATGTACAAGGATTGAATTGATTTTAGTTGCAATTTAAATACTGTTTGGCTAATTATTTTGTATTTCTAATTATTTTATGTGTATGTGCTAATTATTGCTGCTACTAAACATTGTTATTGTTCTTCTTACTACATTTAACTGGAAGTAAATCTAATTTATTTATTTATTTTACTAACAGATCTAGATGATCTAGAACTAGATCTAGTGGTCGCAAATCTTCTAAAAGTTTTTTTTTCGTGTTTCTTTAAAAAAAAAAAGCATTAATTCATTAATAATATTTATTAATAATATTTAGATTTACTAATTTTTGCTAATTTTCTGTCAATTAAATATCAAATTAAGTGAAAACATTAATTTAATGCACTAGACTTTATTTTTATTCAACGGTCAAATAAACTATGATTTACAGTAACGAGTGTTACCGAAACTCAACAAATACCAGATAATTTCCGACGCTATTATTAGTATATCGTGAGATTACCATAAGTTGATCTAGATCTAGAAATCTAGAGTATCTATTTTTAAAATATCATATAAATTCAATAAGTATATTATATAATGATTGTACTAATAAATAGTAGCATCTAGATCTAATAGTATCTAGATTCTAGCATCTAGAATTTTTTTAAAATTTATACTATCTCACGGCTAAAGCTCTCGAAGTGACTTGCTAAGATGGCGGCGCGGTTTCGTTTTTATTGTTAGAGGGAAAACCCAATGATTTTGAAGCCATTGCCAATTTTAGTAATCGGAATTACCCGTTTCTTTTTAAGTCTGTTAATCAAGAATAGTAAGGTGTAATTTTGACTTAATTGCTTTATTTATCTCACGAGTGGCGCTTTAGCTTGTGTTTTTTATGAATTTTTTTTTTTGCAACCTTTTATTTAACTCACTTCCTCCATCTGTCGCCAGTCTGTCGTCAGTCTGTCTGTCTAGATCGGAACGCCCAAGCGAAATTGCAGGCACTTGTACCTGATAGATACAGTTCTTAGTTGGTACGTGGTTCAAGTCATGAAGACAATGCGACATGACATTAAATTTGACTTAATTGGTTGCCTAATTAATTTTTTATGAATTAAGAGGGGAGGCTCCGGTATAAAAAAAACATTTTAAAAACTCGTTAGAAAACAGTTATTTCTTTACAGCTTTATTAAAATGTATGCATTTCCACTTTAAAAAATTGGTGGAAAAATCTTGGTAACTATGACGACAGCGCCCATCTTAAAAAATTAACCTATTGTAGGTTTTCCACCATTCATAAAATATTATATTTTATGCCCAATAAATAATTAATTCATAATCTTCTTCCATATTTTGGGGTAGGCCTACTCAGCTAAACATTTTAAGTGCGTAACTTCAAAATAATTTATTATGAATTTTTTAAATGTGTGACCCTTCAAAACACTTAAGTTTAGGGATATTTGGGCATTAAAACTTGTGTTTTTAATGGACCCACACTTTGAAAATTCATATAAAAAATGAATCCTTAAGATGACACAACATGTTACACTTTTCTTTTCTTCCAAAAAAAAAAAAAATAATTAATCACTCTGTTTGATGTACCCTGCACACAGCGACAGAGCCGGCGATAGGGGTACGCGGGGCCTAGGGCCAACCATCCGCGCGGGGCCTTATATTTTTCCATTGGTTTCTAAAACATGTACAGTGAGTCGTTTTTTTCTTCTTCTCAACGCGAATTAATATTTATAACGATATATGTGGTCTTTTTAAGCTGCTTATCAATGTCGTATATTAGTTTTAATATAAAGACAGAATAAAAATTAATTTGTTTACTTAGAAGCGTTTTTGAAACGTTGCTTCTTCCTGTTAAAGCTTCTTGTTTAAAAAAAAAAAAAAACACATTAAAGAGATGATGAACGTAGGCTTCAAACTTGATTTTTTTTACATTAATGTCTATTTATGAAAATCTTACCAGTACATTCACGAACGAAGATCTACTTTTCTTGCCTTTCGTGAGGAAAAATTCCTTGATTATATCATCATAGTCCAATTTGGAGGCAATGTCTTTTTCTATTGACAGAATCGACAGGCCGCAGAGCGTGTCTTAAGACATCGTTGATAAATGTTCCCAATTACCCGTATCGTATATATCTTTTACGATCTTTGGGAATGAATTATTTTCGTCAGAATCATTTTCAAAGTGGCCGCTTGATTTGTCCCTACTGTCAAGGTTAATGGGGTTTGCAGCTAACAATAAATGACTCGAGGATTCATTATTACCGTCATCACCACAAATGGTAGTACTCTCATTGTAGTCCTTTTGCTACGTTCTACATTTGCGACATTGGAATCCACAACCAAATCAAAAAGTTTTTGTTGTTTAACGACTTTCTTTGGATAGTGTAGGTACTTGTCCAACGCGCCTGCTTATGTTTATCAAATTCTTCTCCTAAATTGCGTATTCTCGTTCTCCTAAATTGCGTTTCCTCGCTTTTAATGCACCTGATTTATACTTGCGAAATCTATCTCTGTCTCTTGTAGACATGGTGTCGAGGAAAAATAGTGAAATCACTTTGAAGCAACGCTAAGGCTGTCCACTCAAAAGGGTGGAACACTGGAGTGGGTGGAGTTAGTGGGGTGAGATAAAGGATAACTGTACATTTAAATCTATGGGACGCCATACCCTAAGAAAAAAAATCTCCCAGTTCGATTACTACGTTACTGGATCTCTGACCGCAGCCATTCAAGAGAAAGTGCGTGTTTATAGAGCGTCCACGTATTACATTACCGGTTAATACCGCGTTCTCACAAGAGAAGGTTCGTGTCTATAATTAGAAAGTGAACCATGTGACAGCCAGCTTCAACTTATTTATGAGTTTCGCGACGGCATACTCAGACTTCCGGTAATTTAGGCGTTTGGGAAATCTGGAGAACTTTACCATAAAACGATCTCGGCCCGATGTATCAAACAGTATAGATATTATAATTAGTTTGGTATCCCTACACTATTTTAAAACAAAAATCACTATTCTCTTAACTTTTATACTGGATATCCCTACAATTAATTAAAATAAACATGTGCTTAATCACTCTACGAAAACCGTTAAAATTCACAAAAATGAATATGGATGTAAAAAAAAAACCTTCAAAAATATAAATTTAATACAAGTATAATATATTTAATGATGACCTGAACATATATAAAATGAATATGAACACAATAACTGTATGGATGCCTTTCAAACTTATCGTAGTGAATAAGCATAATTACATAAAAGATGTCCATACGGTGTATAAAATGTCCTCATCCGCTCCCCCCCCCCCCTTCCTCATTTGGTCACTAAAAAAGCGTCTACAACGGTCCGAATACAAAAATATAAAATTTATAATAATACAAAAAAATATAAAATTTATAAAATCACTCCTGTATAAATGAATGTAGGTACCGTCTAGGGTAGCGAAAAGCTAACTAGGATGAGAAAGGTGCAGTAGAGTTTATGTGTCTCTACACACGACATAAGAAAGACCATATTGCATTTGATCCAAGTGAACTTTCCGTTCTGACTATCGGACTTGTTGAAGTACTTGACCATGACCTAACCTCGGCCATTTACCTGCTTTAAAAGCAAATATCCATCGGCCAATGACAGCAGCTCCATCTTCCTTTGACCTCCCCCTTCCCTTGACCCCCCTTCCCCCCCTTGACTTCCCCCTTCCCTTGACCCCCCCCCCTTGACCTCCCCCTTTCCTTGACCTCCCCTTGTACCGTTACATGGGCAACACCAGACTGTTCTCAACTCGCTGCCTGGGAGTTGCACCTCGTCATGCAACACGCAATCATAACCGTCTCCCAGACTCGTGATGCAAGACTCAATTGTGACCTACTTAGGTCTTGTATTTTTTTTAGTTTACATTTATTACCCAACCATGAATGGCCTGTGGCGTAATCACCGGTATTTTTCCATAGTTTCAAGAAAGACATATACCCAGTACTTTTCCATTACGATATATGGTGTAATCCTTCTATAATTACGATTGGTTGCTTCGGACATCGGCGATGGCCCAACCAATAGCCTAAGGTGTTAAATAGTCTGCGCACACGTTTCTCTGGGCAGTCAGACCAGACATCTCTGAGAGAGTAAGCCGTGTGTGTCGCCATTTTGTAGTCTATAGTTTTAAAGCAGCTTTTTCCCTTATTACTTGTGGTTTAAGTAATATTGTGTGCTTTAAGTAGTTTCGTATAAGTTGTGGTGATTTTCCTAAGTGCCATATCCTGTGATAGTGTAAAATAGTGTTATTTCTTCAACTTGTAAGTTGGGTTTTTGTTTATTTAGTAAATTCATTATATTTTGTATAAAGCTAGAGTCTTACTTTGAACTTGTACACATTTTAGAAGTTATATATAGATTAAAAGTGTTGTTGGTATTAAGAGTTCTTCGAGTTTATCCCCTAAACGTTACGTTCGAGTCCTCGGAGAAGTTTTATATCTACTACCTTTTTTTGGCTATGAGCCTTTTAAACGAACCCGGGTACGTTCGCCAGCTCTGCAACTGCTAGAGTGGTGTTCGTAATACAATCATAACCATCTCTCGGACTATGGAGCCATGTATAGATTTATACAGACACGACCAAGCACTCTACATGACGGCGCCTTGCATTCAAGTCTCGTGGACAAGCAAGAACTGAGCAACAACAAACACGGTACCATGGTCAACTTTTTATTTCCTGTCCCCGTTGATACAAGTCTAATAGGATTTCATTCAAGAAACAACAAACACGAATAACATGGGCAAAGTTATATTTCCCGTTCCTGTGGGATTTAAAGCAACAACAAACTCGATATTTTGGTCAACTTTTTACTTCCCGTCATTGAGTATCATGTCCGCGGCCTTCTCGCCTATCATGAAGGTTGCGGCGTTTGTGTTGGCCGACACGACGTCCGGCATGATAGAGGCGTCTGCTACACGGAGGTTCCTCACACCCTTCACCCTGTGGGGAGAGCAGATGGCGGGAAACTTTCAATTCCAGGAAATCGTAAAATCAGAGATTAACTTTTAAATATTTAACACAACGGCTTTAAGCTTGTTCCCTGTGATTTGGGTCACGTGATTGTCTTTAAGTTGGTCCCCTAACATTTTTTGTACCTTAATCTGTTGTCCACTACTGTTGTGACGTCATCAGTGGCGCCCATCTTGCACGTGCCGGCGGGGTGGTGAGCTGTTGGAAATGTCAGCACATTTTTATATCGGTGAGAGATGAAGGTTTTGATCTAATCTTAGGGTTAAACCTGGAGATAAGCCTTGGATTGCAGGAAATTTCTATCGTAAACTTTATATTTAAGGTAAGGATTAGATCTCACCCCCGCCCCAAAGGCTCACCAGTAGATGCTAGGTGACGGTTGAAACAGTTCCAGTAACTGTCGCTGTTGTAAAGATGGCTGACACAGCTGGGCAGTGGGGCGGGGTCAATGACCGCCCCCAGCTGTCTCAGTGGTTCGGTGTCCACGATCTTCAGGGCGAGTCGCACACCTGGGGCAGTTGGAGAACACGAGAAGGGGGAGGATGTTATATTGTGGTGGTGGTGGGGGGGGGGGGAGCGTGCCATGCTCATCACTTGTCATGTCCTAAAACTGTCTTCTTACCCTCACACCATATCTTTACCAATGTCAAGATAATCTTGCACAAATCAAGGACAGAATGTCAGGATGACCTTCAACCTATCAAAGTTTCCTGTCCATGACCCGTCAGGATCGGTTCACTGTCATGGAGGTTAGATCTCAATGGCGCAAAACCAGTTGACACGTACCGCTTGATTGTGTTGGAGACGTGGTCGAGTCGGCAAAAAAAAAAAAGCTCATGGTTGATAAATTCGAACAGCCTCGAGTTCAAAACCACTGGCAGATAAATATCGATCCCCTTCAACACTTATAATTAAGAACGAAGAAGAAGAAGAAAATATCTCTTCTGTATTTTTCAATTTTTCGAAGTACTATTTTGTGTCAAGGTCTTCTTGTTTATGTCAAGGTCATCTACCCTACGTCAATGTCATCTAACCTATGTCAAGGTCATCTCACCTCTAACGAGGTCATCCAGGTCCTGAGGGTCACTGAAAAAGTTGGGGTCGATGACCGGAGAGTCCAGTGGGTCAGACGAACGGAGCCGGACAGAACCCCGGCTCTTGGGTCGGAGCAGGCACACCAAGACCATTAACCCCCGGCCCTGCTCCTGGAGCTTCCAGCTGTGGAAGAGCTGGAGAACAAGAGGCCGTTAACAAGGAAACGAAAACAGCTGTGAAGCACACGTGTTACAATGAAACGACAACAGCTGTGAAGCACATGGGTTACATTGAAACGAAAACAGCTGTGAAGCACGTGTGTTACATTGAAACGAAAACAGCTGTGAAGCACGTGTGTTACATTGAAACGAAAACAGCTGTGAAGCACGTGTGTTACATTGAAACGAAAACAGCTGTGAAGCACGCGTGTTACAATGAAACGACAACAGCTGTGAAGCACATATGTAACACGACAGACACATCGCCGAACGTCACGTGGGTACCTCTGCGCTTAAGCCGGGCAAGACCTTCATGAACTTCTTGTCATTCAGCTGCTCCACCAAGGTAAACTGGATATCGGGCTGCTGCAGGTGAGGTAGAGTTTTTAGGTGGGCGAGGCCGTCAGCCCCACCTGGTGAACTCAGGGGACCTGGAGAATCACAGTTTTTGTGTTAGATGGACAGTGAGATCATAGGTTTTGTGTTAGATGGACAGTGAGATAATAGGTTTTGTGTTAGATGGACAGTGAGATCACAGGATTTGTGTACAGTGAGATCACAGGTTTTGTGTTAGATGGACAGTGAGATCACAGGATTTGTGTACAGTGAGATCACAGGTTTTGTGTTAGATGGACAGTTAGATCACAGGTTTTGTGCATGACACTGAGATCACAGGTTTTGTCAATTTTGTGTACAGTGAGATCACATATTTTGTGTAGATGGACAGTGAAACCACAGCTGTATGACTACCGACACACGTGACTGGTCACTCACCCGTTCCAAAGGTCAAGTACTCCAGCTGGTGGTACAGTGTGGTACGTGGTAACCCGAGGCTCGAGTTGGTGATCACATGGAGCGCGGTGGTCACGTGATCATGGAGGTTCTCCCCCACCGGTAGGTCAGCAACCACGGGTATCTGAAATACAGTTGCAAGTTACGTTTATAGCGTCTAAACGTTTCTTGGATCATTGTTCAATATTCAGTGTCTCTAAATGTTCCCTGGGTCACTGCCCTACTTTCAGTGACTCTAAATGTTCCCTGGGTCACTGCCCTATCTTCAGTGACTCTAAATGTTCCCTGGGTCACTGCCCTATCTTCAGTGTCTCTAAATGTTCCCTGGGTCACTGCCCTACCTTCAGTGTCTCTAAATGTTCCCTGGGTCATCGATCTACCTTCAGTGACTCTAAATGTTCCCAGGGTCATCGATCTACCTTCAGTGACTCTAAATGTTCCCTGGGTCACTGCCCTACCTTCAGTGACTCTAAATGTTCCCTGGGTCCGACCCCTGACAGCATCAGCACCTGAGGTGACCCAAAACTTCCGGCGGCTAGAATCACTTCCTTGGAGCACCGGACGTCAACCGGACTGGAATTCCGGATCAGCCTGACCCCCACGGCCGTCTTGTGCTCTATAAGGACCTGACGATCAAGACAACACGTGAATCAGGGGCAGCGCAATAGGTTTCATTAAGACACTAGTCAGTCACAATCTACTTGCCCCCAGCATCAACAACCCAGTAGGACTGTCCAGCGGCTCGGTCAGTCTGATCGGTGACGTCACTACCTTATGTTAGTCGATGACGTCACTAGCTTATGGAACCAGTGTGTCGGTGACGTCAGTACCTTATGAACCAGTGAGTCGATGACGTCACTACCTTATGAACCAGTGTGTCGGTGACGTCAGTACCTTATGAACCAGTGTGTCGGTGACGTCAGTACCTTATGAACCAGTGTGTCGGTGACGTCAGTACCTTATGAACCAGTGTGTCGGTGACGTCAGTACCTTATGTTAGTCGATGACGTCAGTACCTTATGAACCAGTGTGTCGATGACGTCACTACCTTATGAACCAGTGTGTCGGTGACGTCAGTACCTTATGAACCAGTGTGTCGGTGACAATGTGCAGATTCTCCCTGTCTGCGGCTGGCCACAGGTACGCACGTGCTGAGCTCCACCTCTCACCCTTGTAGATGTTGCTCTGTGTGTGAGCGACCCCTGCCGACAAACACGTGCAGGAGGTCACACAAGGCTACGCGTTTTTACATACGCAACAGATAACACATCAAGTAAGAATTTATTCAACACTGTGAACACAACATGCGCTGTAAAAACTCAATACAACTATAAAGGTAAAACGCAAAAGGCAGAACACAAGGCTAAATAAACTTACACACACAAAACAAAATCAAAATAATAAAAAAAAAAAAACACAACAATAACACAACACTAAACATTTGTATTGTACTGATAGACCTTCTTGAGTTTCAGCGTTGTAGTCAGTCTCTTGAAAACCAAGGGACTTAACAGCATTAATGAGAACTGTGGCCAAACCATAGCCATTTAACTGGGTTATCTTTACTTTGCCATTGGAACCTCGGTATTCTACATCAAAACAAAAAGCGTGAAGGGTTTTTTAAATGTTGAATGAGTTGAAAAAAGGGATAATTAAACATTTTGGATACGATAAACTGGTAAATTTAACATTTGTAATTTAGAAGCTGACATTGCAAATTTAAAAAATAACAACCTTTGTTTGCCAAATGTTTTGGGACTACGTCTTCTGATCTCATGAAGAACGGAAGTACGTCACGATAACTCCACCCTTCAGATCCTTGCTCCGCCCATCTGTCAAAGTCTAGTCTGTGACCTCGGCTCCATTGCATGTAATTAATTTGACTTGAGCCACCAAGGATCTTCCCACGAGGTATGTAAATTCTCTAGGGTAAAAGTCCACAAGTTAGGTCCCATCTTACTTTGTAGCAAAGAAACTTGATGTTGCGCCTGCTACCCCATCTCTCCGTTAGTATGTTAAAGCCTTTGGCAGTAGTTAAACTTATCCCCACAAGTCTACCCTGCAGTGTTTCCTTCAGAAATATCTCCGGAACACTCCCCCCCCCCCTCTCCCAACCTGAACATGTCCACCACTTCCCACGGCGAGATAAAATAAAAAAATCAATAAAACATACAATAAGAAGGGTGTCCTTGCCCTCCCCATCCCTTGAAGCTTTATGTCTGTCAACCCCCCCCCCCCCTTCCCAAAGTAAAATGTTCGAAGGAAACACTGCAACCCTAACACATCTATATATAAATCAACAAAGTATTGCGACAGTCTGCTGTAGGGTATTATAACTATAGTTGTGGAGTAGGGGAATGTGTGTAGGTTAAAGGCTAAGGCTTTAAAAAAAGTGTAAATGAGCTGAGGTGACCAGATGTAGAGGTGGGGGGGGGGGGTTGAAGAAAAAGACATCCAGACAGAGAATAAGTTAAAACGGTCATAGAGAAAGAGAGGGGAGGGGGAGGGGGCACGTGACACTAAGAGAACCACCGGTCAAACCTGACCCTCCAGACCGAGAGCCGCCTGCCCCTGTGGCCGGCTGTACAGCTTCCAATCGAACCGGCTCAAGAATGTTTCCGGCACCCGGGCCGGCGTGTCCACCTCGGCGTGGCTGACGTCACTGGGTCCGGCCTCCAGTAGCAGCACCGTTCTAGAACTGTTCTCGGACAGTCTGGCAGCGAGAACACACCCAGCCGTCCCCGCCCCCACTGAAACAACACATTTGTTACATTACAGCTTTCTCAATGGCTGAACACATTCGTTCAATTACAACTTTCTCAATGGCTGAACAAGTCTATGAACTAGCCAGGTTTTTTAAGAACGGAGAGCCTCGTCGGCATTAAATGAAAGGGTAAACTTTTCATGTACATCTCAATATTCGGCCACTTTGCTCGCTAGCTTTGGTGGGTTATAATTTCAACTGTTTGAAATGTAATTGTAGAACACGGCACTACTGCAACGCTGTACTAGAAGAGAGTGTGTGTCAGTGTCACTAGGTCGGGTATCACCCGGTGCGGAACTTCGTGGTGTCACCCCCCCTAGAAACTAAGTGTATATATATATATATATATATTATATATATATATATATATATATATATATATATATATATATATATATATATATATATATATATATATATATATATATATATATATATATGTATATATATATATATATATATATATATGTGTGTGTGTATGTGTGTGTGTGTGTGTTTGTGTCGGCCTACATAAGCCTATAATTTAAATATATACCACATTCGGGTACATGTATGTGTATAACACCCCCCCCCCTCTTGTAATAATTGTCGATTTGTACTTAAAAGACTATTTAACTTTAATTAATTACTAAAGGATCTGGCAAAGTGTCATTTTCTTCTGTACATTTTGCAATATTTTAGCTTGGTGTTACCCCCCCCCCTAAATGGTGTCACCCGGTGCGGTTAAAAAAGCTGGTGTGTGTGATTGTGCGTGTGTGTGTGGGGGGGGGGGGGTAGGCTTAGTATGCGGTATTTACAAATCTCTGTTTAATGTAACTGAACTGGCGGACAAGTTAATAATGTGAACCAAAACCAAAAACAACTGGAGAATCTTAAAACGTATTCAAAAAGTATTTACCTATAATATAATCGTAGGAATCCAAAAGTTTGTCTATGTGCTTGTACGTTGGTCTTCTGTAAACATAGCTTTGGTAGAGATAAAATGACAACGCGGCCAGTAGTACATTTATTATGATGTTCCAAAATCCCATTCTTGCTGCTGTAAATTGAAAATAGAAAAGTATTTTTAATCTTGAGTGCGGGAAAAGTATGACAAGTTGTAATGAGATCGAACAGAGTAGTTCAATGCAATGTATCAGCAATGATGTTTACACTTAGATATTTAAACAAAGAGAGTTGACACAGGCTGACAACAGATCACCTCACACACACACACACACGTCAGGTCCGCTACTGCCGTGTGTGGATAATGTGTGGGATGTGTGACAAATTGAATGTGTGCCTGGGTGAACGGCATGGACATTATCACAACATTACACGATGTGTTGTTTTGTGTGTTAAAAAAAAAAACAACTTCGACTAAGACGACTTGGTTCAATGGGGAAATCCTGGTTCAGGGGAGAGAACGCTAAAAAAAGTACCAAAGGTCAAAAAAGGCTTATGTAAATTTGCTTTTACTGTCGGTCATTAAGGATGGTAAAGTAGAGTAAATCTGTTTCGTATAAAGAGATTTCTTTGCATTATTCAGCCTCCGTAAAGGACCCGGGAACCACACCAGATTAGAGAGTTTGAATTAGATTGAGTTATTCGCGCTAAATGATAGTATTTTTTAGATCTTCAGTGTAGGCCGTATCTAATATTACGATCCGGAAATGTGGGTTTATATGTGGATATGAGGATAATTAATTCGATGTGGGTTAGAAATGGCCATCTCTAAGTTGTTTCCCCTAGAGCCATAAAACTGTTAGATATAGACCTATAGGTCTTGTTGGTAGTTGTGGAAAAAAAACTGATCGAAAAAAAATATACTACTTTTGGGGATTTCATTTCTCATTAATTATACAATATGTAGGAAAGGTCTGTGTAATCATACTAAATTTAATTTTTTTTTAAATATGGCAAGCGATAAAATTAATTTTTATTAACCCTGTTCGAGATAGTAAATTTACTATTAATTTTTTTTTTCATAAAAAACGTTTTAATAACAAGCTTTTATGTAGTAACGCACTAAAAAGGAGAAAATAAATTATACACTACTATTTAAATAACTATAAAGAAAAGCGTGGGTCTCTTCCTAAATATTAGTAAAGGTGTGGAGTAGTTGGATAGAAATGCCTACTAATTTGGTCAAAATTATAATTAATTCATAAAAAATCAAGTAGGCATCCAATTAAGTCAATTATAATGTCATGATGCATTGTCTTCATATCTTGACTGACGTACTAACTACGCACCGTATCTGTCAGGTTGAAGTGCCTGCAATTTCGCTCGAGCGTTTCGATCTAGACAGACTGACGACTGACAGAGGAAGTGAGTTAAATAAAAGCTTGTAATAAAAGCTTGTAATCACGTTTTTTGTACTAAATTTTTTTTCATCATTACTATTACAATAGAGTTTGAGTTCTTTTCTTATTGTTTGAATGTTCGCTGTTTTCATTTCAGATTTTTCTTATCTTTAATTAGTGATTCTATCGTAAATTATGACAGTTTTTTTTACTTCTCTTTACCTTAATTAAACCCCAACCTCCATCATATTTTCGTGGTCAATGTCACAAAAGTCATAATGTAAAAAATGACGTTTCTGTCTACCTTTATCAAAGATTTCCAGCCATATTTTTGACAACAATAAATGTTTTTTATCATTTATATATAGAGAAAGACAAAATTAATGTATTATCCGCCAGCTTCCCTCGTAAAACATATTCTATAACAATCAGCCTTTCCATCCCTTAAGTGCGTCTTGTCATTATCCCAAGTCTCTACCTGTCAGACACATTTTGATTGTCCTTTGTTGTCAAAATGTCAATATTAAATGTCCAAATGAGTGATATGGGGTTGTCCATAAATGATGTCACATATGATTTGCTACGGGAGTGAGTTAAGATTTGTGACGTCAACTCAGGCAATTTATGACGTGTATGTCTAATGAAAGGAGGTGAACGGGGAAAAATACCTAGTTCATTGATGGAGAACCTCTATAATGCTATGTTCAAGCAAAATAATGATAAATAAGCATTAGTATACGGCCATCAACATGCGGCCCGGGTCCGACGAACCAAACGGGGCCGCGTTAGAGCACCACTAGGCTATCGCGCTTTGTGCAATTCAAATTTCGCGAAATTGCGCAAATATTTAGTAATGTTCCATCTTTTGAGGGGTTTTTTTGGGGGGACTTAAATTGAAATATAATGTTGACTGACTGACCTTAATTTTCAAATATCACTTTTTATGTATGAATCAAGATTCAGAACTATAATTTACTTAATAAACGTGTCATCTTATCGTCCATTGTGCTTTTTATAAAGCGCAGAGCAGCTTCAAAATCGGACGGCCATCCTGTTGTCACCAAGCTTCTTTTGGAGCTTAATATGGGAAGTTGTGTTCTAAAATCTAAACAGTGGGAGCTTGATACACTTTTAAAGGGACGAAAGTCTCAAGACAGCAAGCTTGCAGAAATAACCATGTACGTTTAAATGGACAAGGGATAGATGTGTGAGGGGCTGTTTAATTGAACTCCAACATAAGTATTCAAATTAAACGTCGCATAAGTGTCAAAACGGCAGTGCTTGTTTTTTTTTTCTGTAAAATTAGCCTAACGGTCGGCGGTATCGGTACATGACGTCACGCGCGAGCGTTAACTCGGTGACGGTGTGCTAAGTAGGGGATGAAACGGTGGTGTTCAAAAAATGCGACTAGCAAGTTTTTTACATTTCTTGACCCTTCTTTACAGATCTATCGTCACCACTGATAAAATGGATCACCAATGAATGACGCGTCATACTTCTACAGCTGGTCTTTCTCCCACAACCGTCCCATGTTTTCACGGAAAAGAAAAACCTGACCCGTCTCAAAATCACATCGCTGAGTTATACTCAACCTCTCCCCACCACAAATCACAATTTCCATCTGAAACAATATGTGGCGTCGCTCGGTCGGGTGTCACCCGGTGCGGCACTTCGTGGCGTCACCCGCCCCCCCCCCCCCCCAGAAACAAAGTATATATATATATATATATATATATATATATATATATATATATATATATATATATATATATATATATATATAGCTTCGGTTATTATTCAGGAATTGTACAGCAGTAAAAAAATACAGTAAAACCATGGCGTAGTCTGTCGAGCCGTTCCGGAAACCACAAGATATACTGTAAACCTTAATTTATTTGCCGCCATATTATTTTTATTACATGTTTTAAAATGTGCAAGGATTGATTTTAGTAGCAATTTAAATACTGTTTGGCTAATTATTTTGTATTTCTAATTATTGTATGTGTATGTGCTAATTATTGCTGCTACTAAACATTGTTATTGTTCTTCTTACTACTTTTAACTTGAAGTAAATCTAATTTATTTATTTATTTTACTAACAGATCTAGAGGATCTAGATCTAGTTGTCGCAAATCTTCTAAAAAAATTTTTTTCTGTGTTTCTTTAAAAAAAAACATTAATTTATTAATAATATTTATTAATAATATTTAGATTTACTAATTTTTGCTAATTTTCTGTCAATTAAATATCAAATTAAGTGAAAACATTAATGTAATGCACTAGACTTTATTTTTATTCAACGGTCAAATAAACTATGATTTACAGTAACGAATGTTACCGAAACTCAACAATTACCAGATAATTTCCGACGCTATATCGTGAGATTACCATAAGTTGATCTAGATCTAGAAATCTAGATTATCTATTTAAAAAATATCATATAAATTCATTATTATATAATGATTGTACTAATAAATAGTAGCATCTAAATCTAATAGTATCTAGATTCTAGCATCTAGTATAATTTAAAATTTATACTATCTCACGGCTCAAGCTCTCGAAGTGACTTGCTAAGATGGCGGTGCGGTT